CGGCGGTGATTCGCCGTATGCGTCTTCGATAATCAACAACCCCACCCAGCAGCACCGCATTGACAACGATCACTCGGGCAATTGGCAGCGCTCCAAATGGCACTCGTCGAACGATCGTCCTAGACACCCACGATGGCTTCCAGACGGCCCACGACGCATACAAGACCCCCGAAGAGGCCACCAAGAGGCCTTCCAAGAGAGCCCTACGAGGCACACCCCGACAAACGACAGCGGCGAGGCAGTATGGGCCCGGCGGAATGAGCGAAGCGATTGAATAAATCCCTGCAGATGAGACCACCTGGCCAGAGTTCTTCCGCAGGCATCCGCACCGTCCTGTCGTTTGGCAGCCCGCGGCAAAAACATTCACCGCACATGATCACCTGTCTCCCGAAGGCTGTCTCTGTCTGTCTTTCTGTCTGTCTGTCTGTCTGTCTGTCTGTCATTCTCTCTCTATATATATATATATATGGATTCCCCTCTTTTTCCCTTTCTCTTCTATCCCGTCCTGAGAGAAAGAACAGACGCCGACGAGCAACGTGTCCCTGGGAAGCTTACAGGCACGGAATGGAGGACCTTCTGGCGCTGTGACACGACACCATGTCTTCGGCCATGGCGAAGTGGGTCGCAGTCAGTAAGTACCGCGATGCCACGTGATGGTGGCTATGTGCTCATGTGCGCTTCGAACTCAGCGAGACAGGCATCGAATCGAGAGGCGATGAACAAAGTAGCAAAACGAGGATAATCAAAGCTGAGACCAATCGCCTTGGGTGGGGGACCCCTCCGGCGCTGCCGCGGCAACTTCAACTCGGGGCCCCCGAACGTTGCCCCGTGCCCCCAGCTCGCTCCTCCGACTCTCGCCCCAACAATCTCGAATGGGACTGGGCCGACGTGGACCCGAAGCTGGAGCGCCCTCGCCCGGCGGAACCAGGCCCGCCAGTCCTGTACGTGTCGAATCACACGCTGGTGGGGAGCGGCCAGTGGCTTCGTCTGCACCACCTGCGGCAGGTCGGCCAAGGCCCCAGGCCCGCGTCGTCGCCTCTGGCATTCCCAATGCCAGCGCAGGCCGTGAGAGCTCGCTCGCCAGCGGGATAGAAGCGCGGCCATAACGAGCGGCAGCTCTTCCACGGCAGCAGCAGCGGCCATGGCAGCAGCGACGGCCGTGATGGGGGCCACTGTCATGGGCCAAGCCAGCGGCGGGCAGGAAGCGCCACACCATGAATGAAGCACAGGGTGGAGCAGCATCACGGATACTGCGTGTGCGTGGTGTGGAGGGCACTCCAAGGTGTGCGTGCGGCTCCTGGCTCGGGAGTGCTGCGGCCCGCTGGAGCCCCGCGGCAAGATCGAGGGATGACGCGCGTCGCCGGCCACGGGATCGCATACGCGGAGGTTTGCACCCGAAGATGGGCAAGGCCCTGGGGCGCTGAGCCTCTCCCGCCTGCGGGAGCGGAGTGGCGGAGAGCTAATAGTCTGGTCTGCGCGCCTCTCCCCTCCACCCTCAGGGCCCTCAGGGGCGTGCGCGTGCCGAGGGGCGGCACGAGCGTGGATTGGCCTCTCGATTCGGTCGGCAAGTCTAGCGAATTACAAAAAAATCCATCCCCCCCTCCCCCCATGCATCCAAGTTGGGGAAGAGAGCCCCAAGGTGGGGTCGAGAGCTCTAGGCCAGCTTCAAGCCACGGGCTGCGCGACCCCCATCCGCCAGAATGGGGTCGTGAGCTTTGGGATGTGGTCATGAGCTCCACGACAATGACGACGATCGAGGATCGACGACGACGATCGACGATCGAATAACCTGTGAGCTTACAAGAAATGGGAACAATCGCCTCAAAATCTGCCCACATATTGCCCACACCGATTGGCCACACCGACTAGCTTGGCCAAGCTGAAGCCCACCGATTGGCCACATAGGCGCTGCCAAAAAAAACAGGTAGCGGCGGTGGCCCGCCGTAGGCGTATTCAATAATGCGAAAGCCACGGCGACAATGATTGTTATGTCTTTGCGATCGCTGTACGCCGACGCACACAAATACAGCACTTACAGAAATGGTTACCTACTGCATCGCGACTGCGACGCAGAACAACGGAACGGATCACGACTGTGACGCACAACCACAATGACGCCCTTCCTTCCTCCGTCCTCCGACCTCCTCCCACCTCCCTCCCCCTACCGCCAACCTCCTCCCTCCTACATCCTCCTACCTCATCCTATCTTCTCATACCCACCTCTCGTCCTCCATCTTTGCCTCCCCTCCTCCCTCCATGCATCCCTCCCTCCTGCCATGCCGCCTCCCATGCATCGCCTCCTTCCTCAACGCATCCCTCCCTTACTGGAGGTATCGAGGAGTACGGAGAAGGAGGACGAGGGAAATAAGAAGGGGGCCAGGAGCACGAGGGAGGGGTGCCTTAGAGGGAGGATGAGGACCCTCCCCCCTGCCTCCCCGAGGCCACGGGTGGTGTGCCAGTGGGCCACGGGTGCACCCGAGAAGCGACTTCGAGTGTACCAGGGGCACGCCACTAATCGACGTGCAAAAAATGCTGAATGTATCCGGCAAAACAGACGTCGATTAGCGAAACCGACGAAGGAGTGCACCGGTGCACTCCGAAAGCGGTGGCAGAGTGTACCGGTGAACTCGGAATCCGGTTCCGAGTGCACTGGTGCGCTCTGCCACCTGTGACGGGTGCACCAGTGGAATCGGATGTCGCCCGATGGGCCGGTGGTGCAATTGACGCCCCGAGCCTGCGGCGGTGGTGCCAAATCCTCAAACAACCTCGACGCTCCCAAATGGGCGAAAGCCCCGTGAGAATCATAACTACCGCCGTCGGCACGACCATTGGGGCCCTAAGAGGAGCCCAGAGAGAAGCTCAAGATGGCCTCAAGAGGGCCCCAAGACGCCTCTGTGATCATGGTGTCCTCTTGGGGCCCTCTGGGGTCCTCTCGGGACTCCCCGATAGGGCTCCAAGACGGCCCATGAGGCCCTAAGAGTGCCCATGGGGGGCGGCCTGAGAGGAGCCCCGAGAGGGGCCCAAGATGGCCCCAAGAGGGCCCCAAGACGCCTCCATGATCATGGAGCCTTCATGGGGCTCTCTGGGGGGCCCTCTCGGGACTCCCCGATAAGGCTCCAAGAGGGCACACGAGGCCTCGAGTGCAGAAGGGGCCCTCCCTCTAAGGCGCGCGTCTCCTCCCTCCCTCCTCTCTCCTCCCTCTGCAGCCCCCAAGGGCTTTCGTGCCCCTTTAAGACGGGCGGGTAGCGGGGCCGATGGGTCGCAGGCGGGTCGCGAAGCGGGCGTCGCAGGCGCCGCGCCCATCCGCCCGCGCCCTAACTCTTATCCGCAGTTGCAGGGTGCTACGTATTCCTGGCGACTGCTTCTCCCCAGCCCGAGCTCCACACCACTGCTTGGGGCACTACCTCCTCTCAGGGACTTCCCAATCGCCGCGAGCACTCAAGATTATGGCAACTCCGACGCAAGAAAAGTTGGCCGAGTGCGCGAGGCGGTTGGATATTGGCAGGGACACAAGTTTAGCGGGCCAAACGACAGAATGAGCCAGCCAACGCGGACTGGGCGACAACTGAAACACCCAGAAATCCCATGGGCGACATTACCGATTGCCGCAAGCGCTACTGGCTGGCGAACGTACTCACGATCTGCTCACATAGGCAACTGCTTTAAGTTCCCCCGAAACGCATCGCCGACGGCCCCTGTGGCAGCGGGCCTCCAGACCCCGCTCAATCAAGGCAAAAGGGTCGTAGTCAGGGAAAGAACCGTGCGAAGCTAGGGCGCCCGTGTGTTTCAATGCCGTACACTGAACGTGCCAGATCGGCGGTGCGATGGGGGGATAGTAACAGGGCGAAGGAGGAGACAGATAATAACCACAATTGTAGACTTACGCCATTCACGAACGAACGCTAGAACTATTGGCGCGCGATGCGCGTCGTGAGTAGCACAGTTGACATGCGTAACCCTCTTTAATGGGTAGTTCGCATTGTGCGCATGAGAATGCGATTGCCTGATGGGCCCCCCTATTCTGGCCACAGCCCTTCCACATCTTATTACAATTTGCTTGCACGCCCCCCTTGCCTCTGCGCCAGGCGGGACGAGCGCGGGCCTGCGTTCCACTTGCAAGAGATGTCCTAGCAACTGCAACGTCCATGTTTTGAAATTGATTTATTGCGCGTTTGCGCGCGACGCCTCGACGACCGCTGCAACCAGTACGACGCCAACGCACACGAGGCGCGACGGTGCGAACCCATGCAAAAATTGAAAAAAAAATCAAGGTCCCAGGACAATTCCTATCGACTTGTCTGGGTGGGAGGTCTGTCCGGGCCCGATCAACTGGGCGTGCACCCGACGACATGCACCAGTCATCTTCGGCGCCTCGACCTCCACCTGGAAGGCCGAGGGGATCCTGGCTGAAACAACGCTTGGACCCGTAGTGTGAATTCACGAACTAAAAGAAACGAGACCTTTAGGGCCAAGAACGATAATTCTTGAGCTGCCCAAGATCGCCGGAGCCACGTCTCTCGTCATCACGCGGATCACAGCAGGCAGCAACAGCTGGAACGCCGCAGCTCCGCAGCCGCCGCAACCGCGGGGGGGGGAGGGATTGTAACTCTGTCGCCGCCTTGAGCGCTGTCCCCCCCCCCTCTGCTGCGAGAGGACGGGAGGACTGGGGCAGGGGTCCTCCCTTTGTTTATACCTCTGGGGTGAGCATCACCTGGAGAAGCAGAACAATCTCCACCCCCACTGGGGAAACCTCGGCCCGGCTGGCCGACCTACCCCCCCGGGGTGGGGATGGGTGCCGTCTCACTCGGGTTTCGTGGCACTGATCCCAGCCTCGAAGGGGTGCGCTGAAGAAGCCAAGTTTCCCTGCCCTGGTGGGGTTGGGGATGGGTCTGGCGATGCTGACCTTAAGAGAGCAATCTGCTGACTGTAAACAATCTGCACGCAGCATCACGCGACCCCGTGCATCGAATTGCCCCCCTGTGAAATTTTCCCATGCGGTCCTTGCCCACGGCGGCATTCTGTCGGCGCCTGGGGCGAAATTAACATAATCGGGACGGGCAGGGCAGCAGCGGCAACAACATCAACGACGATGTGAGGGCGCGCGCGCCGGGAACCTGGACAAACAGAGGGGGAACGACCCCCCTGCCTTTCCCTCCATTTGGGCACCTTCTTTCCGAAACCGCCCTCTCCTCCCACCATTTCCCACAACCTGCTAGGATTTACTGCCCCCTCACTGCCTGTCCCTCCCTTTGGGCACCTTGGTTCCGAAACCGCCCTCGCCTCCCCCCATTCCCCCAGACCGCTAAACGGTGTCACCCTGTCGGGGCTTCCTAACTGGGGGGCTGAGCTAAGCTGGGGCTTCGGCTTTTCCATATGCCCGCGTTTGCCATGCCCCAGCCTGCTGCGCCCAGGGCCCCCGAAACGGGGGCATAGCCAAACGTGGAAATCGGCGTTCCCTGCGACCCGTCCGCTGTGCCCGCGTCTCTGGCGCCCTGACCCCCTCTTTCCATTTCCTCTCCGGCCCCTGGAAACCACGTTTGTGCCAGCGACAACACACCAGACGATCTTCTAATCAAACCACAATCATCTGAGAAAGGCATCAATTTTAATGTTTACAGCTGTCGGGTGTTGGTCTTGGTGCTGGGATTTTATGAATAGGATTCGGGCATTTGATGGTTCAGGTGAATGCCTTAAGAGGTCAGGCCAAGGTAACTGGGAGAAGAGAAGGAGGAAAGGAGGAGGAGGAGGAGGAGGAGGACGAGAAGGAGGAGGGGGAGAAAGGCGGGACGCGCGGCCAGGTTGGGCGGCGACCCAAGCGGGAGGGTCGCGAGAACCCCGACGGACTGGTCGGGCGGGCGGGATACATCGGAGCGAGCGGGCGGGGTGTCGAGCAACCAAGCGGGCAGACCCTCACGGGCGGGTCGGGCCGTCGAGTATGGTGCGCCCGAACGGGGGGGGGGTCGGGCGGACCCCAGGCCGCAAACATGAAACGGTCGGGTTGCCATGCGGCAGAGGCGGGCGGGTCGGGGGGGCAGGCCCGAACAGGGCGAGGCGGCCAGGCGACAACCACTGGCGGGCGGGGCGGGTGCGCGGGAAGTAAAAACGAGTGGGCGGGCTGGTCGGGCTGGACACAGAACATGCGGACGGATTACCAATCAAACGATCGGACGAACCCTGACGGGCCGGTCGGTCGAGCGGGTCGGCAAGGGGCGACGACGACAGCAGCCACATGAACGACGACGACGAAAACGACGACGGAAACGACAAAGTCGCCTACGCCATGCCCACAACGATTTTCGACCGTTCCTCGAGGCCGCGCCCTGGTTGGAACATCATTCCTCTCTCTCCATCCATCCCTCTCGACCCTGCTTGGTGCTTCTTCTCCTTCCACCTATGTCGCCGCCGATGAGGGCGACTGCGATGAAGACGCTGACGATGCGAATGGCTTCGAGGACGACGACGCAGATGCTCCGACAAAACAAATACTCTACTACGCAGGAGGGCAACCACCTTCTATGCTCAGCTCGTCATGTAGCGGTGCAGGTGGGCACGAACATGTACAAGTCTATGAGTCATCCAACAACGTAGGAGATGACATATAAACTATTATGCTTGACTTGTCACATGGCAACCACATGGCAACGCAGGAGGGGCGGGACAAATCACACATAATCATAACAACGTGCAGGGCGGAGAAACAACATTCTACCTCACTCGGGACATGGCAACGCAGGGGGGCGAACCTGATACTATCCTGCTGAATTCGTCACTGGGCAATGAAAAGGTCGGATCCAACAAGATGTTCTGCTATGGCAACGCAACGACCGTTAGTCTGGTCCATCGTCACTTGGCAACACAGGGGGGCGGATGGTATTCTGCGATAGCATGCGACGAATATGCCTCGTCGCATATCGCAGCGGGGGCGGGAATCATACACATGTTTGGTCTTCATCACACTTCAGTGCGAGGGAAGGACACATGCTCTTCCACTCCAGTCGACACAGGGGGGCGGAACAATACATATACATATATATATATATATATATATACATATATATATATATATATACACATATATTTAATGCTCTTCGCGTCACATGGTATCGATGAACACACGACGCCTGACGAAACTACACAGAAACTATGGAGGTGAAGACGTGCGATGCTTCCAGCTGGCAAATCACCTGGCGGCCGGCTTCATAAGATATGGGACGGGGGGAACTTCCGAATCCCAGGCTTACCTCTGGCTTAACACAGGAGGGGATAGCTTTGGACGCTCCCTCCCTTGGAAAGTGCCCCCCAGCATTCATCAAGAGAGAGGGGGGGATCGGCTGCAACTTTGGAAGCACCCTCCCGTTTGGAAAATAACCCCCCAACTCCAAACCGGGGTGTGGGGGACTGGGCGGGCTTCCGAAGCTCCTCCCGACTTGATAAGGGAGAATGGTAGGGGGTAGCTTCAAGCTGGGGTCCCCGTTGTGATCTTATGGGTTCTACGGCGGCGCGCTTCGACGATACCAAGGCTACTCTCCGGATCCCCCTCTCCCGTCGCCACCTCTTGAAATTCTGGTCGACAGGGCACTGGCTCCAGAGGCAACCCAAATGTTCGTGATTCCTTACCTGCTTTCCTCTCCACACTCCCTCCCGCCACCACCTGCGCCTGTGGGGGCTTCGAAGGAAAAGGCAGGGGAGGAAGGCAGGAATGCAGAGAGGACAGGATTGGGAGGGTAGATTATGGGGGAAGGGACCTGCCTTTGTTTTTTTGTTTTTTTTGGGGGGGGGGGAGGGATGTACACTGGGGAGGGGAAGCCCCGCCCCCTTCTGAGGCGTAAGCCTCTAGGCTGGGCTGGAGACGGACGGTGAGGGGAGACGAAAGGAGGCGCGGCATCCCCCCCCCCTCTGCATTCCCCCCTGCGCGCGCCGCTGAGGCTGGCTCAACGGCGTAAGACTCTAGGCCCCTAGGCTGGAGATGGAGAAGGAGGGGAGGGCGAAAGGAGAAGGATGGAAAAGGATGGCGAGAGAAGGAGGGCGAGAGGCGGACGAAAGGAGGATGGAGAATAATGGAGAATGACAGGACAAAGGGGGTGGGTATCCCGAGCCGAGGCCCCCGCTCAGCCTCCGCGCCGCGGCCAGCGGGTTCCCCACGAGCGGCGCGCCTGCGGCTTGGCCCGGGTGCGCTTCGCTCCCGAGCTGGCTCTCTCCGTCTTCTTGGTCGCCGTCGCCACCGTCCTCGGCAACAACACCATCAGCACAACAATCATACTACGTAGTCCAAATCATCATCGTCGTCGTCGCCGCCGCGCCGCCACCGTCGTCGTCGTCAGCGTCGTCGTCGCCATCATCACTTGCCAACGCACTTGCCGTGATTACAAAGGGCGTTCTCATCAAGGCTATCATTCATCGCAAAATTGTGAACATCGTCGGAATCATCATTATCGTCAGCATCGTCAGCATCATCATCATCATCAGCAGCATCATCATCATCATCATCATAATCATCAACATCGCTATCATCATCATCACCACCACCATCAACATCACCACCACCAGCATCAGCATCAACATGATCAGCATCATCATCACCATCACCATCACCGTCATCAACATCATCGCAATCACCATGAAGCATCAACGCCATCATCCTCCTCGTCATCATCACCATCACCATCACCAGCAGCATTCGCATCCTCCTCCTACTCCTTCTTCTCCTCATCATCACCATCACCACCACCAGCAGCACCGCCACAACCCTCATCATCAGCACCATCAGCATCAGCATCATCAGCATCATCAGCATCATCACCATCACCACCACCATCATCAGCATCATCATCATCCTCATCTTTCTCATCATTCTCATCATTCTTACCATCATCATCATCATAATCATCATCATCATCATCAGCATCAGCATCATCATCCCCCCGGGCTTCGTTTTCCAGCCAGACGGCGTAGCACGAGTCGACGACCTCTGCGAAACGGAGCGGGCGAGGCCAGACCACTCGGGAGCCGAGCACGCACACCTCCCTTTCAAAAGCAACTAACGAGGAAGAAACCTTAAAATGAAAGAAAAACAGGGCGGCGGTTGGGGTAGATGGGGGTGAAGCTAGAGCCAAGATAGGACGGAAGACGCAAGGATGCTGCCACGGCTGTCCCACTGCGCACTCAAGGATTTCCGTACAAGTGCAAGGCATCCCCCCGGGCTTCGTTTTCCAGCCAGACGGCGTAGCACGAGTCGACGACCTTTGCGAAACGGAGCGGGCGAGGCCAGACCACTCGGGAGCCGAGCACGCACACCTCCCAAGACTGTCGGACCACATAGACCACCCGATCAGCAATCTGGCCCCGACGGGGCCGCAAACACCTTCTCAGTGAACAACTCGGCTCTAGACGAGGCCCACGCATTGTAGTAAATAGAAGCCAGGGCTTTACAAAGTCCAGGAGGATAAGGCTCGGCGATCTTGGACCAGAACACACCCTTGTCGTTTTTCCTTGGATGGGGATGTGCGGCTGGCCGGAGCGCTTGCACAGGCCACGCTTGGCGCCGAGACAACGAGCTTCGGCGAGGGCGTCCATGCACAGACCCGTGCTGAGGAAACCGGTCGACTTCCTCCACTGGGCGCCCCACATGCAGAAATCGGTGACAGTGAAATTGATATTGTTGGATTTTTGAAGTCTCTGCATGGCGGGGCAAATCCAAATGCGGCTTCGGGCGGGGTTCTCAAGAGTAGCTGGTATACCCAAGAGCATAGCCTCACGCATCACCGCCACGGAGAAAAACATTAACAAGTTCCCGACGCGAACCTTGTCGGCGTCGGCGGGGTTCAAACCGTTGAGGCCCATGGGTGACGTGTTTGACCTCAATGGTGGAGGTCCTGGGGGCACATCGCGTGCCCGCGAGAACGAGGAGCATGGTGTTCCCAAGTGGACGCCGATCACGATGCCCGAGCGGATCCATCCTCTGATGAGGCTGCGGTTCCGAGCCAGACGAAGGTCGTAGTCGGCACCCAGCTCCACGTCCCAGAGAAGAACGTTCACGCCTTCCCTCGCGACTGCTTGGCCGAGCCGGCCTGGCCCCGAGAAGACCTCGAGGAAGAAGCGGACCTGAGGCCGAGGGCCGCCGGACAAAGCCGGCCGCGGACGATGGAGGCCATCGAGCGCTCGCAGGACAGCGCGGGGGCGCGGAGGTCCTTGGGCAGCTCGAGCAGCACCTGGCCGAGGCGGCTGCCCTTCGCGTAGCGCCTGACCAAAGCCCACGACCGCCAGCGCCCGCGGCGCCACGCGTCCTTCAGGCTCCTGAAGGCCTTGGCGGAGTCGTGCGAGGCGCCGCCGTGCTTGAGCTGGGACAAGGGGACGTCGCCGAGGTGCACGTCCAGTTTGTGGCTGCGCACGACGTTGCACACCGTCGTCACCGCGACCTGCGGGGCGAAGACGACGAGCGGCGAGCGCGGACTCCGGCCCTGATAGAGGGCCTTGAGCCCTGGCTCGAGCGGGGCATGCCGCTCCAGATCCAGGCGTATGGATTTGTCGAACTTGTTCGTCTTGGGCGACCTCCTGACCCCCTGCGCGTGAAGCGTGATGGCCCAGCAGGGGGCGCTCGCCAGGTCCTCGCCGCCCAGGTACCGCGCGACCAGCCGCCCCACGAGCTGCAGGTCGACGCCCGCCTCGGAGGTTGCCATCGGGACGGGGAGCCAAGCCAGGACCTCGGTGAACAGCGACTGGCACTTCTGTCGCGCCCGAGGCTGATCCGAGGCGCTCTCCAGCACTGTGGGCCCCCCCACTGTGACAGCAGAGGCCCTCCGCTGGGCCGCGACGCTGGCCACCGCCAGGAGCCTCCTCACGGCTGGAGGAGGGCGGGCAACGGCTCGCTGTCGGCGCGGCGGGCCGGGGGCCCGTGCAGACGTAGAGAGGTTCGCCGTCATGGCACCACGGGTGGCCCCCCGCTTGTCCCGCGGCGAGCCCAGCGAGCCCGCAGGCGCCGCCGGCGGCGCCATCCGTGCGCCGGTCGAGGTCGGTGCGGGTCTGGCCCGCGGGAGCATGTTTGGAAAAATCGAGCGGGCCTGGAACCGCAGGAGCCCAGAGGCCTCGGGAAGGAGAGTCCGCGACGTTCCACTCCGAGGGCAACCGCCGATAGTGCAGGGCCGAGCCGGTAGCGAGCGAGAGGGCCGCGATCGCCTGGGTGACCCGCATCATGCTACGGCTGTCGCTCCGAAACCGCGTCACCGCACCGGCCGTCGACTGCGAGTCCCCCAGGACCAGCAGGTGCTTCCCAAGGTTCCGAGACGACCGAAGGAGATGACGAAACCCGTACAGGGTGGCCCTAGCCTCGTACACGGCGATACTCTCCCCCTTGCGCCTCCAAGGGAAGCGACCGACGACGGACCACTGCAGCTCGATCATCTCCCGCGGGACCTCTGGGAAGTCCACGACCCGCTTGACCCGACCGAACCCGAAGACGTCACCGGGGCTGTCCAGGACACCTGAGCCAGCCAAAGGGGGCTGGGGGGGAGCGCACTCGGGCCCTGGGACGTCGCTGGCGGCGGCGATCCAGGGGGCAGCCTCGCGGGCCTCCCCCGCCAGGGCCGCCGCCGCCTCAGCTTTACGAGCGTGGTCCAGCGCGTGCCGACGAGGGCCCATGGCGGCGCCGACCCGACCCCAGCGCCAACGCTCCGAGGTCCGGCCGACGCTCCGGCCCAGGGAGGCCCCACAATGAGCGGCGCACGCCCCCAGCCCCCACTCACTAGCATCGACGGCCACCACCTCGTCGCTCCAGCCCGCCCGTAGGTTCCGCCAGAGGAGAGGAGCCAGCCCATCCCAGAGAGAGAGCTCGCGACGCACCGAAGCCCACAGACGCACATCCTGGGTGTAATTCTTCCTGACGAAGGCATAGCACGACCAGAACAGCGATAGCCCCTCCCGGCGGACCAGGGAGAGGAAGACAAGATGCCCCAGGAGGCGCTCCAGGTCCCGCCCAGAGCACCTACCCGTCCGGAGGGCCGCCCGAATGGCCAGGCGGGCCCTCCAGAGACGGACTGGGGTGGCAGCCGCGCGGCCCCGGGACCCGTCGATCTGCCACCCCAAAACTTGGGCCACCTTGTCCTCCCCCGAATACTCCTCCTCATGAACGACGAGACCCCGCCCTTCAAGAGCACGAATCGCATCCGCAACGAGAGAGCGAACAGCACTGGCGTCAGTAGAGACAGCGATGAAGTTGTCCACATACTGCGAATGGCACGCACGATGAAGGTCCGGCGTCACCTGCTTATCTACAATGCGGTTCTCCGGGGAAGCTCCGGCCTGTTCCGCAATGCGTTCATGGACCGTTTGACACATCCACAGGGCCCAGCTCCAACCCATTGGTATCACTGACAGTCGGGGGTAGACCATGGCAGACGGAGGAGCGGCTTTCCCATTGGCCCTAGTACACCCCACCGCCCCCGCCCGCACAGCCCTGAAACAGAAGAACGGTCTCAAATCGGGAGGCAACTGCATATGATAGAAGGCGTCAGACAAATCGGCCCCGCCAACATGCAAGTCCTCACCCTCGCCGAGCTCCAGCCCAGCAAGGCCTTCGCCGGTGAGGAGGGAAACGGGGGCAGGGTCCTGGAAGTGACAGTTGCTTCTACGACAGTCTACTACCAGCCGGAGCTTCCCGGATTTCTTGTGCACGAAAAAAGCTTCTACCCTTTCCTTACATGAGAAGCTGAAATCTACCATGCCTCGCTGCTGCAATGCACGGATGAACTCCTCAAAGGCCGCGACCCGACGCAGCTTTGGGTCACTATACGGCACCGCGACTTGAGAATTTTTCAAACGAGTATCTACCTCACTAGACGGTAGCAATCGGCTTTGGACGAAGTCCCTAATCATGTCCGACCCGCCAGCGCCCCACAGATCCTCGAGCGGTACCGGTGCCGGTGAGCCTGAGGGGAGCGAGACGCTAGCGAGGTTATAGGAACCGAGCACAGCAGAGTCAACATCATACCAGCTCGCCACGCGAAGCTTCCGGAGAGCTTCTGCGGGAGTAACCTCCGGCGGAGGCGGGCCGAGGGCAGCGACGGAGTCCCGAATCCTATCAAGACAGCGACGCTGGCCCAAGGAAACAACAACTGCACGGTCGGCGCCCTGGCCGACGGGAGGCTGGTCCTGGTGAAGATAGAGCGAGTTCAAGGCGTGGACGGCACGATCGCAGTCCAACTCAAAACTCTCGCGCTTACCACGACGCTGTCGGACCGCACGGGAGAGCCCTCCATTTATACCCCGATGCCGCTCCACCGCCGGCCGCGGTAAAGGCAAGATGTCGCGGGGTACCGCGCGGGAAGGCTCGCCCCCGTAATTAAAAGCTTCGTAGGGCGGCGGCGCGCGGGGCCTGCGCGCCTCCCGGACGCCGGGAGCGCGAGGCGCAGAAGTATGCATGAGGGGGGGAGCCCGGAGGACAGGAGGAGGGGGGCGAACAGAGAGCAAGAGGCCAGCGCTGCACCCTCCGAGCAGCGCGAGCCAACCTCAGATGTAGATGTTGGCGGAGGCTCACGACTTGTCGCCCCCGCCCTTCTTGCGGGCGGCATCTCGCTCCTCGCGCCCCTTCCGTAGGGCCTTGTTGAGCTGCGCCTCCCGCTCCACGTCGATCCGAACCACGTCGAGGAGCTCCGGACAAATCCTCAGCTGCCCCGAGCCCCGGCTGAGCCCCGAGAATGCCTGCTGCTCCTCGAGGCTGAGACGGCCACTGTATCCTTTTGCCTCGGCCTCCTTCGCCCGCTCGAGGTGGGCGAATTCAATCGTTTGCATCCTCCCCAGCAGCATCTCGACCATGGCGAGGTTCGTGCCATCGAGCTGGTCGACGAGGAGGCCGGCCTTGACGGCCGCCGTGAGGTGGAGGTGCTCGGCCACTCCCCATGCGTTGGGCTCCAGGCGGCACAGCGACCGAAACCGATCGTGGTGCGCATCCAAGCTGCCTCCCTCCGAGTTGATGTGCTCCAGGCACCAGCCCGCCGTCCGGACGCCACCGAGCGTCCAGTCCTTGCCGAAATCCTCCTTCGTCACCGCGGCACACATGTCCGCCCACGTCCGCTCCCGCCGCCCGAGCCTGTTGCGCCGCACTGGGAGGATGCGGGCGTCGCTGGCCACGATGCGGTCGAAGAACTCCTGCTCGTCGCTCGGCCGCAGGTACTGCACGAAGAGGCCCGAGCCGTCCGCTAGCCTGTGGATGTCCTTGTCCCCGACAATGCCCGCTCCGGCCTGGTGGGGCACGTCGTCACCCACGCGGTAGCCGCCGAACACACTCGGCGGCGACCCAGCGAGCAGCCCCACGTCCGTCGGCCGCACCAACAGCCACGACCCCCTGCAAGGGCCCGACGAGCGGTGGCACCCGCGCAGGCGCCGCGGCTCCGAGAGCGGCGGGCGCGCCCGCAGCGGCCACCACCGGGGCAGCCCCTGCCCCGGCCGCGGGACCGCCCACCGGGACCGGCAGCAGGCAGTGGGCGTCCACCGCCGGGGCTGCCACGCCCTGGGCCGCGGCCAGCCCGGCGCACTCGCCCGCGGCCTCGGGCACCGCCGCGGCGAGGAAGGCGGCCTGCTGTGCCGCCGTCGGCTCCGCCCGGAAACGGTATACGTCCCCAGGAGGGATGCCGTCCGGCAGCACGTTGAAGGCCGCGGCCCACCTCACGGCTGCCACGTCGGCTGACCCTGCGCTGTAGTCCTCCGCGTACACGTGGCGGTCGGGCGTGGCGATCACGAAGAGGCTACCACCCGACAGCGCCACCTGCCCCAGCACCAGCCTCTGGTGCCAGACCTGACGGGGGCCGCCCCCGAAGTACAGCACGTACGCCCACGTCGCCATCGCTCACGGGGGCACGCCCTGGCTCCGAGTAGCCCTGGATGGCAGCCCGCCCGCGCCTGCCGCGGCACCGAGCCGCGCGCCAAGCGCCCAGCAGCGCAGCGGACGACGCGAGGCCGCAGGCCACGCCGCACACGAACCAGAGCAGCCCCCAGCCGTGCCCGGCGCACGGGGCTGCCTCCGGGGCCTCCGGGCAGGCCGGGCACGCCGCCGCCCCCGCCGCCGGCGCGAGGCCCGGGCAGGTCGGGCAGGCCGGGCACGAGAGGCCCGGGCAGGCGGGCGCCTGGCAGACGCCACAAGCCTGGCAGGTGAGCGCCGGGCAGGCAGGGCACGGCGGCGCCGCTGGGCACCGCGCGATGTAGTTCACCAAGCCCTGCGCGGCGTACTCTCCCCCGCGCTGCACCACCCAGTCGAGCATGGGGGGTCCGCCGCGGGAGCCGCGCCTTTGAAGCTTGAGCCAAGATAGGACGGAAGACGCAAGGATGCTGCCACGGCTGTCCCACTGCGCACTCAAGGATTTCCGTACAAGTACAAGGCATCATCATCATCATCATCATCATCATCATCATCATCATCATCATCATCATCATCATCATCATCATCATCATCATCATCATCATCGCCATCATCACCATCACCATCGTCGTCGTCAGCTTTGTCGTCCTCGCCATCGGCATCGCAATCACCATCACCATCGCCATCGTCACTATAACCATCATCGTCATCATGGTCGTCTTCATCATTATCGTCATCTTCATCATCAGCATTATCAGCAGTAGCAACACCACCATCATCATCATCACCATCATCATCATCGTCGTCATCATCACCGTCATCATCATCGCATCATAACATCAGGTCATCATCAGCACCAGCACCAGCATCAACATCAACATCATAATTCCCATCCCCGTCATGCCCATCCCCATCCCCCTTCCCCATCATGGTCGCCTCCTGCGCAAGCTTGGCCATCGCTGCGCACTGGTCGGAGCGCCCGAGCGAAACGGCCCACGGAGCAGAGGGTGCGCGACATCGAGGCGCCCAGCCGTGGCGCGGCAGGCGAGCCCCAGACTTCCTGCGAGGCGGCGGTGCGCGCCCGCGCGCGGCAGCGAGGGGCGGTGCTCGCGGCAGCGCTACGCGCGACCACGCAACGGCCGCACGCCCCGCGCTCATGCTGGCGGCGGCGCGGAGCGGTCACCCGAGCCCCGTGCCCACCCCTGGCAAGGGGCCCGCAAAGGACGTGCGCGCCCAGCCACGTACACTTGTACGGCCCCCCAGTCCGCGAGACCAGCCTCGCGACACGAACGTCCGCGCCCGGCCTGGGGCGGCCGCCGTGCTGCGCCTCAGCAGCGCCACCGCGGCACGCGGCGAGCGGCCGCTGGGCTCTTCTCGGCCCGCTGGGGCGCGCGACCACGGTCTGCGGCGTTGGGGCCGCCGCCTCGCCCCGCGGCGGCATCCCTATTGGAGGTCTCTTGGGGCCCCCTCGGGAGCTCTCTGGCGGTGTGGGTCGCGCCCCTGCGGGCAAGCCTGCACGCCGCACCTCGCGTGCGTCTGCGCGGCGGGGGCGGCGGGGGCGCTTCGCGGACGCAGTGAGCGGGGCGCCGGAAGAGCCGCCGCGCATGCCGCATGCTGCGGTTGTTTGTGGCAGCGCGCGGGCGGGGAAAATGCTTGGGCGACCGCGGGATCAGAAACGAACAAACACAAACGCACTTTGTGGTCGTCGCTGGCAGGCGCAGCGATGCGCCGTCGGGGAAGTGCCTGCGAGCGCGCGCGAGCTGGCTGGGCAAGCAAGAGGCGGGGCTCTCACGGGGCGGTGGCGTGGCAGCAGCCGCGCCAAAGCACACATACAAGCACACACATATCACACACCAACACACCAACATACCAACACACCAACACACCAACACAGCAGCACAGCAGCACACCAACACACCAACACACACGCACACAGACAGACAGACAGACAGACAGACAGACAGACAGACAAACACACAGACAGACAGACACACAGACAGACAGACAGACAGACAGACGTACATACATGGATGTATGCATACATGCACACGCACCATGTATACACCCGCGCGCAAACGCAGACACACACCACTGCACACACGCACGCACACGCAAACGCACACGCACACAGACACAGACAGAAACACAATATAGACACAGACACAGACACGGATACAAACACGGACGCACACGCACACGCACACGCACACGCACACGCACACGCACACGCACACGCACACGCAGACGCACGGACACGGACACTTTAGAGTCCCGTAACGGTGCGGTGACAGACCGTGCGGTGACCTCGAATTCCCCCAAGACTTCACCGCACGGTCCGTCAACGCACGGTTCTGGGACCTCGGAAGCCCCAATCGCCCGGGACGTCCTCGGAGAACGACCCCGAATCCCCAACGACTCACCACACAATGTGGTCACCACCACTTTTGGGGGTCCCTGGGACCCGGACCCAGACCAGGACCCAGACCCAGACACAGATACAGACCCAGACACAGACCCAGATACAGACACAGACACCGACACAGACCCAGATACAGACGCAGACACAGGCACACACACAGACACAGACCCTGACCCTGACCCTGACCCAGACACAGACACAGACCCAGACCCAGACCCAGACCCAGACCCAGACCCAGACACAGACCCAGACACACACACAGACACACACAGACACACACACAGGCACACACTCAGACACACACCCACACACACACACACCGATACACACACAGACACACACAGACACAAACACACACACATAGACAAACATGCATACACACACGCATAGACACACACAGACACACACAGACACACAGACACACAGATACACACATAGACAAACACATACACACACGGAGACACACACACACATGGAGGCACACACGCACACACAGAGACATACACGGAGGCACACACAGAAACGCACACAGAGACACACACAGACACATACACACACGCAGACGCACACACACACGCACATAGACAGACAGACATATAGACAGACAGAGGCAGACATAATCACACACACACCACACACACGCGATCACACCCACAATCATACACATGCCGCGGGAGAAAACGGGAGCCCGCGGTTCGGGCCGTGCAGCGCGGCGCACCCCTGTGGCGGTAACCTCGAGGAGGACACCTGGCGACGACCCCGTCTCCCCCTCAGGGTCGCGGCGGTGGGGGCGCGGGGTCCTGCACGACGGCTTCTCCGAGCTCGACGTGGGATCCGCTTTCGGCTGCAGCTCCGCCGGCGACGCAAGAGATCCGTCCGCCACTCCACGGGCACTGCGCGCACCTGCGGCGCCGCCAGCACCACCTCCACTCCGATGGCAGCGGCAAATGCGCGACGGCGGCCGGGGCAAAGGCACGCGCCGCACCTCTGGGGGAGACCCCGGCCTCGTGGCAGCGCCGTGCTCCCAGCCTCCAGGAGTGACAGCGCGCGGGCCGTGGTGCTCCGCGGGCCGCAAGCGCCGCGCAGGGCGCCCGCAGTCAGGCGGGCCGCGGCCACAGCGGCTCGTGCGGCGGGCGCCGAGTGGGCGGCCCAGCTCCCCCCGCCCGGCACGCCGCCCATGGCGTGTGCGCGCGACTGCGCTCGCGAACTGGGGACCGGGACGCGGTCAGCGTGAATCGAGGTATGTGAACAGCAGAAGCGGTACAAACATGACCGTTCGGAGGGGCGCTCTGACTTCTTGGGTCGGCGCTGGACACCCCCCTGGCGCGCGGAACGCGCCAGGGGTCCCCAGCGCTGATCCAAGAAATCCGCGCGGACCTCCGACGGTTTATCCTGACGTATGCGGTTTCTCATTCCGAAGCCTAAAGAGGGGAGGGAGACGTGGGGGTGGGGGTGGGGCCCAGACCTCGGATGTCCTGATTTTGCGATGCGGTGTCCCCAGAGCTCTGGGCCACTGCCCGAGGGCCTCCAAAAGGCCGAAATCGTCCAAGCACTCACCGTCGTGATTTTTTCAAGACGCGAGGGAATGCTGGAGGCCTCCTGCTGGGGAAAACCAAATACACCGATACCGCTACTCGACCTCCCAGGGCGCGTTCTGCCTGGGACCTCGAGGCGAATGCAGCCGTGGCAACGAGGGCCTCCCAGGAGGCCCCAAACGGGGAAAACGAAAGAACGGTAGCGGTGTCGGTGACTTTTTTACGTGTTCGATCATGGACCCCGTCTTAAACGCAACCATCCAGCTTTCGCGCCGAAGACCGTCGGAAGACCGCCGAGGGCCGGTGGGTGACAATGAGTCCATGGCCGAATACGTAGCCTTTTTCTCCTCTGAAAGAGGCCTTCTGGATGGGGTCTGAGTAGATGGGGTCAGAGGATCGCGCCGCATCGGCGATGCATCGGCGATGCACCGGCGTCGTCGGCGGTGCATCGGCGCAGCAGCGCAGTCTGCGTGGAGAAAATCAGGCTCTACATCGAGCCGCATCGCCGATGCATCGGCAATGTGGCGCGACCCTCCGACCCCCTCTGCTCGGACCCCATCTGGGAAGCCTGGAAGCCAGGAACGGCATGCGCATAACGAACCCCAACAATAGAGGAATCACACACGGCATAAACATATACTGTTATGGGCCCGCCTGGCTCTGGGAGGGGGGCTCAGCGCGGATCTAAGAAATCCGCGCGGACCTCCTGAGGCTTGTTGGTATAACACATGAATTTGTATGTATTACTTTTTGCTGCTCGAAACAAGGCACCCTAATAGCAACAACGGTGAAGGGGCGTGGGTCGAGGAGTACGTCGGCTAGTGAAAACGTGCCAAGACAGGGGTGAGAGCACGGCCATGCGCATCTCAATGTATGTATGTTTGACCAGGGCCATCCAGACCAAAAGTGCAGTCGGCATTGAGCGTGAACACGATGCATTAATCCCACCAACCCTTAAAGGTGGTCTAATCGTGTCTTTCTTTCCTCTTCCATGAATTTCTTTTTTTACGCGAGGTTCACCTCCTTCTCCCAGGTTGTTTGGGGCGCCGCGATCGGTCAGAGCGCCCAAGATGGCCCAAGATGGCTCCAAGAGGGCCTCCGATGCTCATAGATGGCCTCCAAGATGACTCAAAATAACCGACGATGATTCAAGATAGCTTCCGACATACCTCCGAGAAGTCCGACGAGGGCCAGAAGACCAAGTGCTCTCAGAACCCCCTGCAGGAACCCCCCAAGAGGCCACGATCCTTCAAACACCCACAGAAAACCAATGATTTATGCCCTCTCGCCGATCCGCTTCCTGTGCGCTTATTTGAGGCCTCAAGCTGGCCCCAAGAGAGGCCCCAAAAGAGGCCCTGGAGGGGTCTAAGAGCCCCCCCAAACGGCTCCCAGGCCGCTTCAGGCTACAGTCGGCCCGTATCATAAGGATGCGCGATAAGGACACAAGGGCCTTGGACGCCCGTTTCGAATCTTTTCGAGCGGGGCGCGGACAACGAAAATGGCCAAGGATGGACCGAGGATGCAAGGCTGCAAGGGGGGGTACCCTTGGGAAGGTTGCCCATCCTTGCCATACGGGTTGACTGTAAAGGCCTATGCCACTTCCGGCTCCTCGAAGCCTGGCGCCGCGCCCTGCCCCCCCGGACGGGGCCCCGGAGCCGCCAGCGGCCCGAGGGGCGCGCGCGCGCGCCGTCGTCCCCGAGCGTCAGGTCGCTGCCCGCGCCCGGCTCCTCCCCGCCGCCGCCCCTGCTGGACCTGCGGGCGCGCGAGGCCGCGGAGCCGCGCCCTGCCCCGTCGCAGCCCCGGATCGCCGACGGGCTCTTCCCCGGCGGCCCTTCCCCGTCGGCTCTTCCCCGGACCAAGACGAGGAGGACGAGGAGGACGAGGACGACGACGGCGAGGACGACGACGGCGAGGAAAACGAGGACGCCGACGACGACGAGAACGAGGACGACGAGAACGAGGACGACGACGAGGACGACGACGACGAGAGGACAAGGACGAGGACGAGGACGAGGATGAGGATGAGGATGACGAGGACGAGGACGAGGACGAGGACGACATCGGCGGCGGCGTTTGCTCGTTGTCGGACATTTTCTTGACTCGGGAGGCCTTCCTGCAGCTGCGCCGCGCCCAATGCGTTCTAGGGGTGCCTTGATCGCCCCGAGCGGCCGCCGGAGGCCCGAGGTATGGCCTGGAAAATATTATCTCCGACGATCCGATTTTTTCAGCCAGCGGGGCGAACAACTGGCTCAGGTGAACGGGTCGGGACCCCTGGGGCTGCGCATTGACAGAACTCACATCGTCGGATGTCTCGGATCCCGCACTCCCCACGTCTCGCTCCCCTCCTGGTCTGGCCCCTCCAGATCCCGTTTCCTGGCCAAGACGAAACGACAACGGCATAGTCGTAAACTTTCGGAAGTCGACGTGGATTTCCTAGATCGGTGTTCGACCCCCCTGGTACGCGTTAGGGGGGAATTTTCAGCGCCGATCCAAAAAGTCCGCGATGACCTCCAAAAATGTATGGTTATTCCGTTTTTCTGAGTCGATGGGCCCTTTCTTATCCTGCGGTGCAGCCTAAAAAGAACTTCTGGCGCTGGCAAAATTTGGACGCCCGGGATGGGTACTAACAGAAACGGGTACTAACAGAAAAGGGTACAATGCCCAGTCCCAAACCGACAGCGGCCGCTGTGGGGCATGCGGCCTTCTGTCTCAAATGGACAACGTCCGCGGCGACACCAACAACACATCATGTTTAGAATTGAAAAGAACCGTTGTCGATCTTCGTGCCCATTCTGTCCGTACACATTTCGATCGTACCGGTAGACGGCTGCAAAGATAGGACGATCAAAGACCGCCAGAATATGCCTGCGTTTGGCCCGTGCATCAGTCTCGACCAGCCGTCGGACATCCGACTCGCAATCATCCAACGAGATCGACTCGGCAAGGGAAGACGCGACACATGTGGCCATGCAAATCTCACTTATAGCAGGGGGACGGCGTTCGTGATCCCTCCGGCTGTGTCCTCGCAAGCCTCCCCAATCATAAACCGCATCAGAACGTGCACCAATCCGATCGCCGCCGTTTCAAGGGCATATGATGTTGCCGCCAATCGGCCGGAACATCCAGCGAATCCAGCGCGCCATCCAGCGGTTGTAGCATTGACGAACTTTTGTCGAAGAAAGCCCCTTTTCCATTGCATCCGTGGAGAGGCCAAACCATCCATGATACGGCTCCCAAAATGCACTCGCACAAACTAGCTAGCCTGTCAGCACGAATAGGCTCCGCCATGCCAGAAATCCCTGTCATGGACCGTGCAACGATTGCCCCTGCTGGCCACATGACTCTGGGCTCGTGGGCAACCACATCAACACAACGCACGAAACCTCGAAACCTCCGGGCACGGCGCACAACTAACTGCAAGCAGAAGACGGCCTCACGCTGATCAGCATCCTCTCCTGCGGCGACGCTACCTCGAGCAGGCCAATGGCGACACCAGGACAGCCTTGGCGCGAGGCGAGGACGTCGCACGTGGGGTCGCGAAGCCCAGCGCCGTGGCCCGGATCTCCGCCCGGGCGCGGTCCTCCAGCTGCGCGCAATACACTCGAGACGCTGACCTAAGACCACTGCGGGTATACAAGAATGGCTCTGGTTTTCGGGCCGTTCCGTATGGAATCTGTTCGTGGCGACTGCTCGCCGTGGCCGGAAAATCCCCTCCGGTTCCTATGCAGCGTTCCTTCGATGGCTATGGTCGAGCGTTGACTGTGCACCCCCGTCAGTGTCTGGCATCATCTTCACGGTGAAATCCCACCAGCCCTTTGGGCGTGAGTGGTTTAGAGAGCTCTCTCTGTCCTCAACCCCCCAACCCCCCTTCTTCCCCTTCGGGGAAGGGTTTACCCCTCCCCCTCCCCCCTCCCCCTGGGCCTGGAGAGGTCGTCCCGCGGGTGGTCAGAGGGGTCTTTTTCGACTCCTGGGAGGGCCCAAAAACGACGACCCTCGCGAGGATTCTGGCCCCGTCGGGGGGACCACGAAAAAATGCTCTCCTCTTCTCTGAAGCCAAAATCCTTGATTTTACTACGGTTTTGGCCCCATTTTGGCCGTCTGAGGGGCCAGCGCTGCTGCTCCTTGTTCTCAAAATTATTGATTTTACGAAGGTTTTGGGCTCATGTTGTCCTTCTCAGTGGCCAGCGCTCATTTGCGCTTCTCAGGAGGTCGCAAGAAGCCCCAAGATGGCCCCAAGAGGCCCCCAGGAGGAGGCTCCCAAGAGGCCTCCAAAAAGCTCCCAAGAGGCCCCCAAGAGGCCCCAAGAGGCCCCCAAGAGGCCCCCAAGAGGCCCCCAAGGGCCCCACGAGGCCCCCAAGAGGCCCCCAAGAGGCCCCCAAGAGGCCCCCAAGAGGCCCCCACGAGGCTCCAAGAGGCCCCACGAGGAGCCCGAACGACTCACACCAGGACGAGGGGCCCGAACGACTCACACCACGAAGAGCCCGAACGACTCACACCACAAGGAGGGGCCCGAACGACTCACACCAGGACGAGGCGCCCGAACGACTCACACCACGAGGAGCCCGAACGACTCACACCACGACGCGGGCCCCGAACGACTCACACCACGAGGAGCCCGAACGAGTCACACCAGGAGGAGGGGCCCGAACGACTCACACCAGGATGAGGGGCCCGAACAACTCACACCACGAGAAGCCCGAACGACTCACACCAGGACGAAGAGCCCGAACGACTCACACCACGAAGAGCCCGAACGACTCACACCAGGAAGAAGGGCCCGAACGACTCACACCAGGACGAGAAACCCCAAACGACTCAAATCACGAGGAGCGCTTTCTCTCCCTCCTCCTCCGCCTCGTCCTTCTCCCGCTCCCCCCACAAGGAGGATTCGCAAAAAGGCGGGAGGAAAGAGGGACAGGGGAGATATACGGAGCCCAGCGGACACACGCCTGAAAAACACAACTGTCGACATGCTTCGCGGGAGCTGCTGCCGTGAGATGGGCTGGTGGGGATACGCGAAGCGTAAAGAATTCTCAGCCCTTGACGGCGTAACCTGTGGACGTGGCAACTGCGGGCCGCTGAGCCACATGATCGGAGAGACGGGGCACCTTCCAGGTCGGAGTCTCGCGAATGTGGGTTTCCTCTGATTTTGTCACGCGTAACAAGGACATCAAACGTGCCCGTTTGGCAGGCCACGCCCACATAACACCAGACGTTGTCGCTCACGGTTCGAATGGAAACTTCCAAGCCAACCTGCCAAGTATTGGAAACCAAATTGCCCATCCGTCGGATCTGAACTGGGATGGCCAAGGTGAACGTGCGCATGTACATGCGTGCGTCGCCCATTCAGCGCCTCTCCCGCTGCTGATGGCAAAGAGAAGAGAAGCAAGAGGGACGAAGGCGAGAGGGACAGGAGAAGGACGATCACAATCATAGTCAAGGCACTCGTTTTCCAGAGCAGCCGACAGCGCCAGCTGAAAAGGTGATTGGAAGACTGGTCCAGCGCGCGCTCCAAGCTTGCCAACCCGATAGAAACAACAGGACCCACATTAATTGCACTGGCAGGTCTGTCGCGGGCGGGTTTGGAAGGGGCGAAGCGGCGACGGCATGCGTCCAACAAAAAGAAACCTGGACCCAGAAAGGATCTGATGGCTCTCGCTCAACTCGCGAGGCTTGACGAGCGAACTGTCTCAGGGCTGTCTGGCATTTGCCAGGAAGGGCCGGGCCGAGGTGAAGGCTTCTAGTCTAGAGTGGCTGGGGAACTCCTGGACGAATTCGCGGCAGCGTGCCTGCCTTCTCATGTCGGCGCGCGCTTTCGCGGGCCTTCCAGCGCCCGCTGCGCTGGATCGCTCGGGGATCCTGTAGCTTCTCCAGTGCGTCTGTGCTGGCGCCTCCGCGCCGAAGGTAGCGGTGCGCGAAAGGAACCGCCAGCTGCAGGCGCCGGCAGGCCGCGTTGACGACCCGGGGCCCGCGCGCTTCAGCAGCGCGTCGAAGAGGCCGCCCACGAAGGCTTGGCCCTTGCCAGCCTTGCCTAGGAAGACCGCGTCATCGAGCGTGTTCGTCTTCGATGGCAGCGGCTGCGTCGCAGGCGCCGCCGTCGCTGCCCAGGGCCCCGCAGGCCCCGCGCGCGCGGGGCGCCGCGGAGGCCCGGCGCTTCGGACGGCCGGAAGTAGCCGTCGAATGCGATCGGCAAGAGCGCGCCCGCTAACGTCGACTGGTAGTCGCGGCCGACGAGGTCGTCTGCCACCGCCAGCACCGCCTCCCAGACGGCCGGGTCTCGGCTGCCAGGAACCTCGGGGCGGCCCCAGCCTTTGGGGGCCTGCTCCGCCTCCGGGAAGGCCGCGCCCTTGGTCGCCCAGCCTCGCGACCAGGCCAGCCCGCGCAGGCGCCGGCGGGAGTTCGCCTTGGCCTCGCCGCCCAAGAAACACCTCAAAGTGACGCCCTACCGTGGTGTCAGCTTCCTGCGGGTTGTTGAGACTGCCGCCGAAGCGAGCGATGAAATCGTTGAGGTCATCCGCGCAGCTCTGTTACCTCTCAGCCGTCGCCTGGCGCACCGTGGCCCGCCGCAGGAAGCCTGGCGCACGACCGCCCGGCGCGGCCGCCGGCGCGAGTCCTAACGCCGCCGGCAGCCGTGCCACGGCAGCCGGTGTCTGTGCGGGCGGCGGGGGGCGCCGACGCCGGCGGCGTCGCGGCGTCGCGCGGCCGCCAGCTGCCGCTCTCCCAGCGGCGCTCGAGCTCGGCCTCGCCGTCCG